TATATATAATATATATATTAATAAATATAGTATATTTTCATGATTGTTATATAATTGATTCAGTGTGTATGCTTCAGATTAAATTTCTCCATTCTTCATTTTTAGAAATCTATATCATGTGCATTTATAGTACATACAATATATACACTGATGACACATACTCCAGACTTGCACATGTGAGCATGGGGGCGTGTGCACCAAGTCAGGGAAGTGCCGATGTCCTGCTGGATTCACAGGAACCAACTGTCAGATGACCTGTCCGAGACACACCTGGGGCCTGCGGTGTGCCTTCCAGTGCAGCTGTGCCAACCACGCCATATGCAACCCACGTAAGTTCATGGTTTCATTGCCCTTCATGGGAGGGAGGTACAGGGGTGCCTTGATGCTACTGAAGGGCTCTTGATGCAAAGGAATTGGAGTGGCTGTTTGCATCCTTAGTTAAGATCTCATTACTTTCCATCCTCCATTCACTGTATAACTCCTAAGGTTTTGCTCTTCCATGCTAATATAGCAATAATGGATTCATAAGAACAATGATAATATTTTTTTATACTTATTATTATTATTATGCAAATGGATAAGCAAGAAAGCCACTGAAAGGATGTACATGTCTCTCTGGGTCTTGGGATTTCTCAAGAGATTGCTTACTTTCCTCAGAAACTTTTGAGCTTGTTGCAAATGCATCTGTGTAATTTAATGCTGGTTTATTATTATTATTACTTTATTATCATCATTGTAACTAAGAGCTAAAGATGTCGGTTTAAGATATGGATAGTTTCTCATGTTATTTTTATATTATATCTAAGCAGTTGAGCTGTACATTATTTTTATTATTACTGTATTAATGTATAAATTTTAATTAGAAAAGTTTGACAACCTTCCACGTAGTTTACATTTAGTCATTTCTTGCAAAGTTAATGTAAAATGCTCTTGGGAAGAACTTAAGTTGTTTGCATGCATGCAGCTCTTTAGTGGTTAACTCTTCCCTGTGGTTCTCCATCTCTTCCACATCCTTGCCACTCACCTCCAACCCCAGGGGCTTCCCCAGTGCCACAATATAGAGTCCACAGGGTCGGCAAGGTCAGGGTCAGCCTCAAACTCTTCAGAATCCCTCTCTTGGACACAATCTGGCCACAGTTTTCTCTAAGCAGAGTTCAAAGTCCTGGAAGTCACTCCCTCCCAAGCCTTACCTATAAGGCTTATGCAATGGAGGATAGTGAAGTGATTACTCCAGAACTCTCTTAGGGTCAACTGAGTGTCCAAGGTCACTTCAAAGCACTTTTGAAACACTGCTTTTGTGTAGAGTTTTTTGAAGTTAGAAATGACCTGCTGGTCCATGGGCTGGAGGAGAGGAGTGGTGTTAGGAGGCAAGAACTTCACTTTTATAAAATTGAAGTCCCTAAACATTTGGTCTTCCAAGTCTGGAGGATGTGCAGGAGCATTGTCCAGTACCAGGAGGCATTTGAGTGGCAATTTCTTTTCCAGGAGGTATTTTTTCACACTTGGGCCAAACACATCATTAACCCACTTTTTGAAAATTTGCCCTGTGACCCATGCCTTATGATTAGCTTTCCACATCACACACACACTATTCTTCATGACATTGTTTTCCTTGAACACTCTGGGATTTTCTGAGTGATACACGAGGAAAGGCTTCACTTGGAAATCTCCACTAGCATTACCACACAACAAAAGAGTAAGTCAGTCTTTCATAGGCTTGTGTCCTGGCAGTGCCTTTTCCTCCTGGGATTTTCCTCCTGGCATTTTCTTCCAAAACAGGCCTGTTTTGCCACAACTGAACACTTGTTGGGGTTTGAATCCTTCAGCCTTTATGTACTCCTGGAATTCCTGGACAAATTTTTCAGCCACACATTTGTCAGAACTTGCATCCTCACCATGCCTTACAACACTGTGTATGCCACTACGCTTCTTAAATCTATCAAACCATCCTTTGCTGGCCCTAAATTCACAAACTGCAGCACTTGTTCCAGGCATTTTCTTTGCAAGATCCTCATGCAACTGCCTTGCCTTTTCACAAATAATCGACTCCACAACACTGTCTCCCACTAATTCTTTTTCCTTAATCCACAATAATAATAGCTTTTCCATCTCTTACATTATTGGTGGCCTTTGTTTAGTTAGAAAAGTTACTCCTTTTGCAATATTAGCATCCTTTATTTGTTCTCTCTTTGCCAGAATGGATGTAATTGTTGATTTATTCTTGCTGTACATCCTGGCAAGTTCCACCACCCTCATACCACTCTCAAACTTTTCTATCACTTCATGCTTAAATTCCATGGTGTTTCTCACTTTCTTTACCACAGGAACTTTCTTTGGAGCCATGGTTACTTATTTCACAGTTGCACTGCAAAAATAACACAAACTACAATGGGAAACAAGCAAAATGTTTGGATGCATGAGCAGAAGCTTCCTCAGCCACCAAGACACACAGCCAAACTGACATACTAGTGGCCCCAACCTAACGGCTGATCACCGAATTAATGGCCGATAACCGGGCGCCGAGAAACCAGCCTGTCACTGAGTTGGTCGATAACAGAACCGGTCAATTACTGGGGGTCCACTGTATATATATATATAATTGTTCTGGAGGTGGTGTTGGAATGGACGTTTGATGAGCAGCGCTTCACAAGGGTGCATATTGCGTCTAGTACTGTTTCTTGTGTACGTAAATGCCATGACAGAAAACAGTCAAGCCAAAAATGTCCATGTTCACAGATGATAAGACTAATGATAAACAATAGCAGACCGGCAAAGACTACAAACGTATTTGGACGTGCTGCAAGATTGGTCTGACAAGTGCAATTAGAATTTAACCACAGCAAATACAATGTTATAAAAATCGGGGAACGGAAAAGACTCCCAGAAACGGAGTATAGGCTCAGGGTACAAAGATTGCAAACCTCCCTGGATGAGAAGGATCTAGGGTTGAGCATAGTTCAGAGAACTTCGACAGAGGCACACAAGCGAATACGTGTCTCAACAGATGGGTAAATTTAAGGGCAAATTCATGAAAGTTAACAAGGAGATATTCGCAACACTACAGAGCATATGTTAGGGCTCAACTTTAACCTGATGACATTAATAACAAACATCAGGAGTGACATGATTATAATGCACAAAATACTGAAAGGAATTCACAGTTGGACAGGGTGAGTATTCGAGAGGTGGGTTTCAGGTACATGAGGACACAGCTGGACATAAGAGTAACAGGGATGTTAGGGAATACTTCTTTTGCACTAGGGTTATCAGGAAGTGGAATGACATAGCAGAGGCAGGATCCATACATAGTTTTAAGTATAGGTATGAAAGGGCTCACGCACCTGGGAATGAGTGAATCTTTGTAGTGACCAGCAGAGAGATGGGTCCAGGAGTCGAGTCTCAACCCCTGCAACTATAAACAGGTGAGCAAACAGGCAGGTAATTAATTTTTAGCCTCTTTAAGGGCTAAAATCTAATTCTTTATATTAACATATTTCAGATATTTTTCACACATATCTATGTAATATCATATCTTTAGAACTTTGTTTATACTTACAGTAGTTTTCTTTGTACTCAGTGACTGGGGAGTGTAAGTGTGGGTTGGGCTGGACTGGGCCAAACTGTAGCCAAGAATGTAGTCCAGGCCGCTATGGTCCTAATTGTGAAATGGACTGTTCCTGTCACCACAACGTCTCCTGTGACCGCTTTTCTGGCTGTTGCCAATGTGGCCCTGGCCGCTATGGCCGCTACTGTGAACTGGGTAAGTTACTCAAAAAGTCTATTATACTGTTGGCTGTTGTAACTAGTTTACTATGTACGTACTCTCTGTCCTAGTGCACCTGGTGTACATTCAGTGAACAGTAACAGCTAGTTCACTGTGCAGCTCATATTCACCCTATGGACAGGTAATTGCTAGTTTATTGTGCACTTTATATCAATCCTGTGCACAGAAGTCGCTAGTCTATTTTTCAATCCATTTTGTGGATGATAATGGTTGGTTTATTGTGCACCACATATCTGTTGTGTGGATGTTAACAATTAGATTTTTGTTCACCCCATATCAATCCTGTTGATGGTATTACCTAGATTATTATGCACTCCATATCCATCCTAGACTAGTTTGTGCACATTATAAACATATAACAAGAAGAATAAACATGTCATTGGGAAGACATCGAACCCTACTCCTTGTATATTCCAGGTCTAGTGCTGTACTACGGTTCGAGTCCCTGCCTAGTATTCATTTTATTAAGTTATTCAATGACAACATATTCACCAAATCAATTCTCAGTTATGTAAAATGTAATTTGTATTCGTATGAAATTGTCAAAATTGAGACAGGTGCTGATTTCTGCTCGTTTTCCTTATTTCAGAGTGTCCAGTTGGGTTCTATGGTACATATTGCACAGGTGTGTGTGAGTGCCAGAATGGTGCATCCTGCGACCCTCAAACTGGGCAGTGCCGCTGTACTCCAGGCTTTACTGGAGACATTTGCGCTGACACCTGTCCTCCAGGTGAGTCTTACCTGCAGCCGTAGGGGATAATTGTTCCCCACGACAACTTGGAAATTACTTTGACAGTGGACCAAGATACAAGTATAATGAGGGAACGTTTCGCCACTAGTGGCAAAACATTTTCCACATCTTGTCGGTATCGCCATACCATTTTTCATACGAGTATAATGCCAGAGGAATGGATTGACATTGAGGTTTCTAGAGGTACACCGAGTTAAAAAAAAAATACCCACCTCTAGGTGGAAAGGTGACAGAGAAATTTGCAATCCATTGGGAGAGTATGGCTGAAGACAGGAAGATGAAGTATATGCCAGCATCCAGCAGTGAACTGATAGTCTGCTGCTGATTTGCAGTGAAGCATTTTTAAACTTATGCAATGCTTGAGGCTATGATCTAACTTTACACATTTTCAGGGAAGTTTGGTAGTCACTGCCGTATGGAGTGTCAGTGTGGAGATTATCCATGCCACAGAGATACGGGAGAGTGCCAGTGTCCTCCTGGCACTAAAGGGCCAAACTGTGCCATGCGTAAGTGTGGATACATTTTTTCTATAATTGATGCCATTAATTCAAATGCTCTCTAAAAGCTTGAAAACAGAATCTTTAACACACATGGTATGTATCTCTCATTCAGCTGTGTTATGACATTTGTATTTGGTATCAATAATATAAGTAATAATGGTAGAATTACTGACAAAATGTTAGGTAAATGGACAACATACAACTAATGTGACACTTTATTGTGGCAACATTAGTTGCATCTGTGTCCATTTACCTAACATCAGTAATATTACTTATAGTACTAATAGAAATACGTAGTTTGTTACGTACTTTTATGGGCTACTTGTTTAGCTAGTAAACACAGATTACTGGGTAAATTCTGAATGGTAAATACTAATACTGAGGACAAACTTCTTAATATTACGATGTTTTGTGGCATCTCTTGCGGAGATTCAATGCACATGGTCATGGTACTGAGGATACCTTCTTAAATTTACCAACATTCTATAATGTATAATGCAGGAGCATCAGCTATAGCCCTGTATTCCATGTTATGAAGCAAACTTAAGCACGTGCACAAGTCCTCGACTTACAAACGCTCTAAGCTACATACATCTGATAGCCTCTTGATCAAAGTAATTGAAACTAACATCCCCTTAATTTAATCAAGCCTGATTTCCTTCAATTTCCCAGGTGGTCTCCCCCTATGTTATTAGCGCTTTCCCTTGAATGTAATAATACATAACATCCGTACTTACAAACCAGGGAAATTTTTACATTACTACTGGAGTTACATTACTACCAGGTAATGCATTACCATTTGTTCTACTTTTGCTTTATCTGTAAACAGTGTGTAAATTGGAACTTCTAGTTATGCATATATCGGTTTACACCTTTCATAACACTTTAGCTTAAAACTTTAGAAAATGGAACTATGTACATTATTCTTCAAGAAATGTTTTCTGGGTGGACAGCGTGTGGGCCTGGCAGGTATGGCGGAAGCTGCAGGCAGGTGTGCGAGTGCCATAATGGAGGCAGCTGCCACCCTGTTACCGGTCGGTGTTCCTGCACTCCAGGCTGGCTCGGTCCCAAATGTACCGAGGAGGATGGTGAGATATTTGTTTTTCTAAAGAATATCTGGAACACTATATTATTTTTTTCTTAAGCAATAACTATGATTAAATTCTTTGAGGTTTTATCAGGTTCATATAATTCAGTGACAGTTATATTCAATGAAAAAATGTAATTTTACAATAAAAGGAAAGTAAATGAGAGATGAGGGACAAAGAGTAATCTAATATGTTTTAGGAATGGAGAGAGAGATGTTATGACTGAGGTGCAGGAAGACAAGGTAGTCAGGACAAGAGGATTTAGTAACAGGAAAAACTAAAACTTTAAAGATGTGTTATCTGAGAGTAGCTAAAGTTTGGAGCCTTATAGTGGAGGGAATTTTGAAAAGCCTAGCTATAAGAAAGTATATCTCAACAATAATAGGAGAGTGCAACAGAGAAAAACACAAGAAGGTAGAAATGCGGGTCTTTCCAAGCACCACATCTTTCCATCATCCACTAATATTCCACTCAGCCTCACCGTGCCCTCCCGATTGTTATCAACCCAGCAGCTTCTCTTGATTCCTCCCTCAGCTGGTCCCTCTATTTCCTACCACCTGTTGTAACACTTATTCTTAAAGAACACAGAGGCACAATACCGTGACTGGAGCAATATATAAATAACAAGCACATAGAGAAAAAAGCTGTCAACGACTTAGGAATGGTTCACACTTGAACCGAAGTGTGTATCTTTTATTCCTCATCTTCCTTTGTCTTCCTTCAATACTGATACTGGTAAGAGACTCTTCATCAAAGTAAAAAGACCTATCCTGATTCCATTCCATTCCTGAGGCAATGCTAACCTCTGTGGGTTTATCAACTTCCCCATGAATGTAGTAATCTTCCTGTGATAAGACACCTTTGCAACAGCTGGGTATCTTTATTGCTGAAAAGTTTCACTTGATCAGCAGGCTTGTTCAGTTGAGGCTACATAAATACTGGACACAGCAGAGATCATGGAGAGGTGATCAGTCCCTTGGTCTTGAAGTATTAATTGTATAAAACATGAGTATAATACAATCCTGTGACAACATTTCTCTCACACAAAGGGCTTTATTATGTCACAGACAGATCTCCATAGAGAGAGATAGAGGATGAGTATGTATATATGGAGTGAGGTGAAGTAAAAGATAAGGAGAGATGCGTTGAAACTAGTACGTACTTTGGACAATTTTATGGCTGAGGAGCATCTCTCTAGCATGGGCTAGCAAGCTTGCTGCAGTGTTCCTCCAGTCTATGAAGTGTTGCTATGTGGGATGCTTCTAGCCAGGAAATTTCTTGAACAGCCGAGGGAACTCTACAATAAATCCATAGGAAGAGACAAAACATTTCATGTGTTTTGAGATGAGTTACAGCAATGTGTGTACCTGGAGGGGGTTTTGGGGGTCAACGCCCCTGCGGACCAGTTTGTGACCATAGCAAAAATTTATATAGGGTTTAAAACTTCAAGAACTTCAATATGTTGATATGCATGTTATTTTGTAGGTAACCTTTGTGTTATAGTAATTATAAGTATGAACTTTCATATATTACACAAAAGTAATAGTTATTCTTTATCCCTTTTAAATATGCTTCCAGGACACTGCGGTAAGTACTTAACGCACTGCTAAAAGAATTATAAACGTAAAAAGATAATTGTAAATTAATACTTTACGTATACTAACATGATGGCTTAAGGGACACAAAGCAGCAAACTGTGATCCTTTGCATTAACAATTTAACGCTCACACAGTGGCTTAATAAAGATGCAACTTAATAAAGCCCACTGTGTGAGCGAAATGTCGTCAATATAGGATTGCATTTTACTGTGTGTGTGTCCTTTTGCACACATGTTAATTTTCTCTTGCCCAAATACTGCCATATAATTTTAACTTTTTTTCTTGGCATCTACATTAAATAGTTTGGGGTCGTGTAATCTGTAATTCACATTTTCATTATGACACTTTCTATAACAGTAATTATAATATTTTTTTCTGACAGTTTCCTTCGTCACAACCAGTGACCAACAAGGAAGAGCCGACATTCCTGTGGAGCTGAGCTGAAACTTCCCCCGAGATGAATTACTGTCCCAGTGTCAAAAAAATAATCCATGTGAACATTGTGACAAGTGGGTTTCTGGAAATTATCAAAAATTGGCAGTTGTATATTAGTTACCTCCAATAAAATATATAATCCTTCTAATCCCGTAATATGGATTCTGGTAAGAAAAACTATGACATTTTAGTGTTTTATATGCTGGTCCAGATAATGATAAAAACAGGGAACATAATTTGCATACCTTTCATTTTTTATGGTAAAAGTTAAAAATATTTGTGCTAAAATTCCTTTCAAAATTTATTACTGCAGTGGACCCCCGAATTTCGTGATTAATCTGTTCCAGAGAGCCTGCCGAAAGTCGAAATTCACGAAACTCGAAACCATTTTCCCAATAAGAAATAATGGAAATAAAATTAATCCATTCCAGACACCCAAAAATATTAAAATAAAATATTTTTTCAAATTAAATAAGGATTTACATACTGAAAGCAATCAGAAATCAAGTACATGCATATAAAAAATGATAATATTACACTTACCTTTACTGAAGACTTCTGGGTGGATGGAAGACGGAAGGAGGGGATAGGAGGAAGGTGTACATTATTGTTTGGAAGGAGAATCTCCTTCCATTAGGACTTCAGGTAGCAAGTCTTTTTCTGGGGTTACTTCCCTTCTTCTTTTAATGCCACTAGGAACAACTTGAGAGTCACTGGACCCCTGTCTCACAAAATATCATTCCAGAGAGGTCTGTTTCTGGCATTTCTTTATGATTTGCCTGAAGTAGGACAAGGTTTTGTCACTGAACATGTTGCAGATATGGCTTGTTTCAGCATGGTCAGGGTGATACTTTTCAACAAAACTTTGCAACTCGTTCCACTTTGAACACATGTCCTTAATCACAGAAGAAGGCACCTCCTTCACTCTCTTTTCCTCCTCCTCTGAAGCAAGTTCCTCAGCTGTTCCAGTTGAAGTTCTTGCAGTTCGTCAGTGGTTAGCTTTCCCCTGTGGTCCTCCACGAACTCTTCCACATCCCCATCACTCACCTCCAACCCCATGGATTTGCCCAATGCCACAACACCTTCCACAACAGGCAGAAGGTCGGCAGGGTCAGGGTCTGCCTCAAACCCTTCAAAATCCCTCTGGATCATGTTCTTCGCTTTCTTTACCAAAGGGCTTGCACTAGCTTTCCTTGGGCCCATGGTGACTTATTTAGCAGTTGCAATCACAAAAAACAATGGATTATTACGTATGAATCCGCGGGGTGATGGTCACGTGTTGGTAAATACGTAATGGCACCTTGAGCGTGAATGGCGTGGGAGACTGGCTTTGTGTGCACGGTGATGGGCGGACAGGTACTGGACGGTCACCGAATCACGAGTAATCACGAAACTTGAGGCCAAATTTTGCCAAAAAAAAACTTTCAAAAGTCGGATTTCATGAAAGTCGATACTGCCGAAACTCGAGGGTCCACTGTACATATATTATAAGGGACCATTAACCCTTTGGGGGTTACAGACGTACTAGTATGTCTTACGACCCAGGGTTTTTGATGTACTAGTACGCCTAAATTCTAGCACCCTCAAATCTAGTGAGAGAAAGCTGGTAGGCCTACATATGAAAGAATGGGTCTATGTGGTCAGTGTGCACAGTATAAAAACATCCTGCAGCACACAGTGCGTAATAAGAAAAAAAAAACTTTGACCGTGTTTTGGATTAAAACAGCGACTTTGCACTGTATTTTTGTATGGTATTTATTGTTGTATTCTAGTTTTCTTGGTCTCATTTTATGGAATGGAAGACATATTACAGAAATTGAGATTATTTTGACTGGTTTTACAATGAAAAGTACCTTGAAATTGAGCTCAAAGTAGCAGAAATGTTCGATTTTTACCAAAGTTCAAAAGTAAACAAATCTTGCCAAGCGTCCAATACACATCAACTGACGAGTCTAATATTCTTTCACAAGTGCACTGATATTATTTATACCATTTCTACAATAATGTGGTAGTCTGCATAACAGTAAATCTTATTTTTTTTGTAAGAATAAAAATTCAAAGTGGAAAGCCAAAGAAATACAAGAGGGGCCTGGGGATGTGACTAACGAACAGAGAACTTGTTAGTTTAGTGCTAGGAATGTCTTTCTTGTTTATTCTGGACCCTATTCGAAAATTGGCATCTTTTGAAATTTGTGTGAAACTGGCAAAATTGCTAAATTCTGACCACTTTATTGGATAGTTGAAATCAGTAAATGGGTGGTTTCTTGTACTCACTCAATAGAAAAAATAGAAATAGAGTTCTAGCGAAATAGTTATGATTTTTGTTGACTAGTACCCTGGAATTGGCCGAAAATAGAGCTCAAAGTGGGCAAAATCACTGATGCGTAAACATCGTTGAGACCACTAACTTTGCGAGAGCATAATTCCGTAAGTTTCCCATCAAATTTCATACTTTTGGTGTCATTATGATCGGGAAAAGATTCTCTATCTTTTCATAAGAAAAAATAATTTTTTTTTTTTTTTTTTTGAAATATGGCCAACCCTGAGAACAAGTCTCTGAGAGGACCTATCGACCCCCAAAGGGTTAAGTCCTCAGTATCAGTCTGCCAAACTTGCAGTGGATCCTTATAAAAATGAAGCAGTTTTTGGCTACAATTATCTGGCTATCAGCATTAGATCACAGTTCTCACCAGCTAATGATGTCACAATGTATGTCATAATGAGTGCCTGTACCTTAATTCCAGTTTTACCACATTTTTCTGGGTATTATAGTCTACATGGGAGTGTCACAGGAGATGAGAGGTCATGATGTAGAGCTGTTGGTTAACGTAATTCTGACAACTTTTACTGGTAGTAGTTAAACTAGTTAATATACATCTGCTGCCTCTTCCTGATTCATGTATTATGTAGTCTCTGATTAAAATATTAAAAATTCCCATACACAGCGGATACAGGACGGTGTAGATTTTGTTTTGCGGATACGCAGTACAGTGGACCATCAACCAACAATATTAATCCGTTCCAGAGAGCTTGTCGTTAGTCGAATTTATCGTTAGTCAAATTAATTTTCCCCATAAGAAATGATGGAAACCCAATTAATCCATTCCAGACACTCAAAAGTATGAAAAAAAAAATTTTCCACATGAAATATACATTTTCCTACACAGAAAAACAAGGATACATGCACAATAAATACTACATGAAGAATAAATGACACTTACCTTTATTGAAGAGTATTGAATGAGCGATAAGACACTGTTTTTCTTCAACACTCTGGGATTTTCAGAGTGATACATGAGTAAAGGCTTCACTTTGCAATTCCCCCTAGCATTACAACAAGACATGAGAGTTAGCCTGTCTTTCATAGGCTTGTGTCCTGGGAGTGCCTTTTCCTCCTGAGTAATGTAGGTCCTGTTTGGCATTTTCTTCCAGAACAGGCCTGTTTCGTCACAATTGAACACTTGTTGGGGGATGAATTTTTCAGCTTCGCCATGCCTTATCACACTGTGTATGCCACTACGATTCTTAAATCTCTCAAACAAACCTTTGCTGGTCTTAAATTCACCAATATGAGCACTAGTTCCAGGCATTTTTTCCTGTTCACCTGGGTGTTAGTCGACTGGTGTGGGTCGCATCCTGGGGACAATATTAAGGACCCCAATGGAAATAAATTAGACAGTCCTCGATGACGCACTGACTTTCTTGGGTTATCCTGGGTGGCTAACCCTCTGGGATTAATTGTTTCTCGGTAATCGTTTCTCGTTAAACCACACCAACAAAGTTTTCTCTACATCTTCGAGTAGTACAGCTGACAGTGGTACAGCAGCAGCTGATGGTGGTGCAGCAACAGTTGATGGTGCAGCAGCAGTTGACTGTGGTACGATAGTACATTTCTCACCCTTTTTATCACAGGGTTGGCACTAGCAGCTTTCTTTGGGCCCATGGTGGCTTATTTAGTAGTTACAAGCTCTAAAAACAATGGAATACAAAATTTATCGAATGTATGCTTGCAACCGTCCGCCCTGGCTTGTAAATAATGGCACACTGTAGATGAATGGTTCAGAGAACTGACTCAGCTGAGCTGGGGCGCTCAGGACAAACGGGTGCGTTTGGGACAAATGTTTGTTAGTCGAGTTTTTCATCATTGGATGGGCCAAATTTTTTACGCAAAAATGCTTTGTTAGTCAATTTTATCATTAGACTTTGTCTTCGTTGGCTGAGGGTCCACTGTAATCCTGAACAAGCAATACAAGATGTAAAACAACTAGAGGGGGAGTTGATTGATAGCTCTAGACTTTTAGTCTTGCAATCACCACATGCGTATCTTGCAGTGTTGCAGATTAGCTCAGGAAAACGTTTTTTTTTTTTGGTCAGGGTGTGGGCGAAACATCAACAGAAGATCACATTATATTACATTGGCATCTCTCTTTTCCAAGACCAGCCACACCAAATTTAGACAGGGTATGGCATGGAGAAGACCCAGGCCAAGACCTGTCCTGACAAACCTACCTGTACCACATAAATTAACCAAAGTCTTCGCCAAACATGTTTTCTGCCTACTGGAAACCATCAACTCCTTCCAGCTAAGGTACTGAGGCAACTTTAATAAGAAACTAAGTATCAGTGATGTTACTATTCTAAAAGGAACCCACCACACACATCACTGACTTTCTCGGCTTTTCAAAGTTTTCGTTGGACTGAACTATTCACAAACTTTACCTGTTTATCTTAAAACGACAACTTCCATAGGCAGACATATGAGAGGGACATGGGTTCTTCCTCATCAGGGTTGTCTTGGTAAACAATACAATAATTTAGACACATGTGCAACTCTTGGGTATCTTTACTGAGGAAACGTTTCACCACACAGTGGCTTCATCAGTCCATACAAAGGAGAAACTTGAACAGGAGGAGAATGAGGTAATCAGTCCCTCAGCCTTGAGTCGATGTGGTCAGCCCATCAATCTTGAATAGAATACGGCATATGAGAGGAGAAGCAGCTTATAAACCGTAGACAGGAGAGGTGCAGCAGTCGTAGGTGGCGTCACATTTGTCCAATGTGGAAGTGGGTCGTGCCCAAGGGTTAGGCAAGCGAAGAATTCCCAAGTATTAAGATCCCAAGAAGTTGCAGTGTCTGACAAGATTGTAGATGAATGGTTCACAGAACCGACACGTTAAATTAGACACAAATGCAACTCTTGGGTAATCCTGTCAGACACTGTAACTTCCTGGGATCTTAATACTTGGGAATTCTTCGCTTGCCTAACCCTTGGACATGACCCACTTCCACATTGGGCAAATGTGACACCACCTACGACTGCTGCACCTCTCCTGTCTACAGTTTATAAGCTGCTTCTCCGCTCATATGCCGTATTCTATTCAAAATTGATGGACTGACCACATCGACTCAAGGCTGAGGGACTGATTACCTCATTCTCCTCCTGTTCTTCAAGTTTCTCCTTTGTATGGACTGATGAAGCCACTGTGTGGCGAAACGTTTCCTCAATAAAGATACCCAAGAGTTGCACGTGTCTAATTTATCAACGTGTCGGTTCTGTGAACCATTCATCTACAACAATACAATATGTGGAAAGAATAGAAACCGAACACTACTAACATTATCCCCAGCAACATCACATGGATGCGATATGTGACAT